AAAATTAAATAGGCATTGAGCTATAAAGGTTAATTATAGATTTTAATCATAGATTTAAAATTTATTAAAAATTACAAAGATGACAAGAATCACGTTTAAACAGAGGTGTTAGATATTTCAGTTATCAATTAAACATTCTTTTCAATGAAGAACAATTTTGAATAAATAAAAAGAATTGAAATAACTAATCCAAATCAATATTGGTCTTATTGCAAGGATGAATCTAAAATAACTTTTCTTTCTATCACCTTTTGTTTAAGATGATATTATTTATCAAGATTTTTTTTTGTATTATTATCTATTGAATTATAATTGGAATAAATTATAAATATAATATTTATAAAACAAAAGGGTTAGGGACTAGATTCTATTATAGAAACTATTGCAATTAATGCTTATCCAATTATTCTACTTTTAAACAATTAATAATTATCATTTGTATATTATTAAAAACTTAAAATACTTTTTATAATCTTGATCATATCGAAAAGTATAGTCATCAAGTAATCTATTCAATATGATAAGTGATGAGGAGATTATTAGATTTAACGCAATTAGGAATTAAAAGATATATCATTGAGGAAATTCACAGATTAATGAGACTATTATTTAATTAAATATATGTAAAAATGCTAACTTAAATTTTTTCGAAAGGGAAGTTATTTGTGAGTTAAAAATTATATAAACCAATTTTCCTTTAGATATTTTAAAGGTTAAGTTAGATGCGGGATGTAAGAATTAAATTCATTCCTAAAATTAGAGATTACAGTCAAAATTATTTATTTAATCTGATATCAAAAAATTATTAATCTAATTCATTATAAGTCTTTCTCTTTGCAAATATTATCCAAGATGATCACTTAATATTTCATGAAAGAATTCATGTTTTTTTTTCAATCATCATACTTTATTTATAATTATAATTTTATACTTTAACTCCTTGCGTTCCCATGGACTACTCTTTATTTAATCAAATTTATACTTTATAATGATATCTTTTTAGGATATATAGATGAGTATTCTATTATCTTTGAGGATATCTTCTTAAAATCATTATTTGAATCTCTCAATTGTGTAAAACCATTTTTCATTTCATAGATCAATATTTCAAAAGTCCGATTTTCATGAAAATTCCCTGATTTATTCACTATTTCTGATGCAAGATTGTCAGATATTCTGATTATCTAGTAACTTTTTCAATTTTTTAATATTTATTAATTTCAGTACATGATTTCTCTCTATTTTCTCTTCTCATATTAGCTAATCAAAAATCTGTTAATTTTGCATCTCCTACTGCTGTAAAAAATATGTTTTTCATTTCTCTTTTTCACTTTAATGTATACTAAAGTATTCTCTTTTTATTCAATTACAAAATAAACATGACAATTTATTCGAAATGCATTTTTCAATTCAACTATCAAAAGATATTTCCTTTACTTTAGAATTCATAAATTTTATTTTAGTTTTCTATTTCATATTATGCATGACCCTAACTATATAATTTGAAATCTTCCCTATTTACTAACTTTTTGTCTAAGATATTGGTACTTCCTGCTAAGTCTTGGCTAGAATGCATTGGTTGCATTGCCTTGAACTTTATCTACTTAATTTTCTTAATTAATGTAGCATAAAAATATTTTTATATAGTTTTAATTCTCTTTATATAGGCTTATGGTTGCTATTATAATTTTTTTTTTACTCTTAATTTAATTTATACTGAAATTCATCAATTCTTAAACGTATAAATATTAATAACTTTAATTATTTTATCGATACCATAATTGTAATAATAAACTCAATCAAGAAAAGTTGTAACTGCTATAATGATGTTGGGTCTAGTACAACTTGTAACACATGCTTGCCAGAATTTTATCGAAATACTTTTTATATATTTTTTTTTCAAGGTTATGCATATAATAGAGTTTATTATTGTGAGGTTTGTTAAGATAGTTGTAAAGTTTGTAGCAATTCAAATGATTGCTCAACTTGCTTTCCAAAGTCTTATAAATCTGGCTCGAATTGTTTAGATTGCCCTAGTTATTGTGCCAGCACTGTATGTTTAACATGTGTGGATCAATTTGTGAAACTTCTTGCAAGACATATTAAGATACTAGTAGTACTTGTACATCATGTGAAGTTGTCTAATATCTTTCAAATTCATAATGTCTTCCTTGCTCATCCCCTTGTTTTACTTGTATCAACAACTCAAATGCGTGTACTTCTTGCATTGATAATAATAAAACA